GATGCTGAAGATTTCCTGCCTTTATGTGTTCCTGAGTGGGGGGGTGTAGAAAGATAATCATCATGGCATGAGAATGTGCCGCATCATGCCCAGTGGGCTTGGAATGGGTTCTTGAAGACCACAGAGTTGTGTTGGGTAGAGATGTGTTGAATTTCATGGCTCGAAGCTGTTCAGGGCCAGCTGGAGTTGATGTGGGTGATCCCATCAGTCGATTCAGTTTGGCCCCATAATTGTCTCTCAGTCATGGCTCATGGAGCCAGGCTGAAGCATAGCATTGAGTGAACCCGGCACCAATATTGGGCTGACTTGGGCTTTGTGTGAGAGACCCCATGTTAAGGGGCCTTGCATTTCGTGGCAAGGATCACAGCTTTGGGTAAGAAAGCATTTGCATGTCATGGGTCAGGCGAAGGGACGGAAGCAGCCTGTCCTGTGTTATTCACCGTAGGGGGCAGGCTGGACCCTCTATCTTTGGGGTCAGTTTGTTCAGAGAGGTTCCCAGGGTTGGGAAGATGGCTTAGTGGTAGAGTACTTGCCTAGCATGCAGGATGTCCTGGGTTTGATTCCTCAGTACCATATAAACAGAAAAAACTGGAAGTGGCTCTGTGGCTCAAGTGGTAGAGGGCTAGCCTTGAGTACAGAGAGGCTCAGGAACAGAGCCCAGGCCCTGAGTTCAAGGCTCAGGAATGGCAAAACAAACAAAAGAAAGACAGAGGGGCTCCAAATGAACTAAGAATTTGGATTTCTCTGTCTGCTTATCCAACCTCTGTCAAACAAACTCCCACTTTATTCGTTCGGTATGGAGACATGGAGGTAGGGACTTAGGGGCAAGAAAACAGGGAACGGCCTGTACACTGTCCAGCCATGTTTGGAGCAGGTTGGGAGACTACAGACCCAGAGATACAGAGACAGAAGCGAAGAGAGAGACAGAAACAGAGGTCCATTGAGAAGGAGACAGAGACCCGGAGAGAAGACAAGGCAGACACTCTGAAAGGGATTGAGACCCAGAACGAGAAGAGGAGGTCAGACACTCAGAAAGAGTGGGGAACAGACATCAACACTGGAGACTAGAGTTTTAGAGAGAGAGAGAGAGAGAGAGCAAAAACAAAAAAAAAGGCAGAAACCCCTCGGTGTCCCTGAGTGGGAAGAGACACATGAAGTCTCAGTTTTCCCAGTCATCACCAGAGCCCAAACTGGCGTGCGTCACCCATCCTCTGTTACCTCAGGAAGGCCGTCAGGGGGACTTGGTGTGTTTTCCAGGAGGGAAACTTGAGTCTCAGCGGGGCGGAGGCTTGCCAAGGTCACCTGGGGAGGATTTGTGACAGGCTGCCCGACTCCACCACCCCCACAGCCTGCCTGAGCACCGGGCACCTCCAAGACATGTGGCCTGATTGATCAGGAGGCTGATACTCACAGAGGAGGCTGTGACCCAACAGGGCAAGGCCAAACATTTCAGTCTTTCAGGACTAAAGGCCAAGAAGAGGAGGAAGAGGAGGATAAAGAGGTGGAAGAGGAGGAGGAGGAAGAGGAGGAGGGTTGTAGTCACTAACACACATAGGGCTTCCTATAAGCCAAATGTCATTGAAGGTACTTGTATTAATTTATTAAAACGTATCCAGTGGTTTGCAGAGTGCTGTTATTATTGTTGTCCCCACCCCCTCCACACACTTTTTTTTTTTTTTTGGTCCTACAAACTCTTAGAGGCACTGAGTTCTCAGAGAGGATCTGATTTGAGGGCACACCTCCCTCTGAGTCCACCTAACCAATCATCACGCAGGAAAGGAGGCCTGGGGGTGTGTCTCAGGGAGAAAGTCCCTGCTTAATTAAGTAGAAGGCCCTAAGTTTTCAACCTGCCTGGAACCTGGCCTGAGTGGCTCATACCAGACATCCTTGCTACTCAGGAGGCTGAGACCTGGAGGATCATGGTGAGAAGTCAGCCCAGGCCAAAAATGGGCCAGACTCCAGTTTCCAGTTAGTAAACAAAAAAATGGGTTAGTGGCATGGCTTGGGCAAGTAGAATATCAGCCATGTGCAAGAAAGCCAAAGCAAGAGCACAAGGCCCTAGTTCAAGCCCCAGTTTCAACACACACACACACACACACACACACACACACACACACAGAAAAAGCAAAAAGAAGAGAGCTACAGAATGTAGGGAAGGAATTCAGTTTACCTAATCACCTTCTTCCTCCCCACACCTTTTTTTTTGGCAGGGAAACGAGGCCTCTCAATCTTTTTGGCTTATTGCTTATAGCTGGTTCTCTACCACATGAGCCATGCCACCAGTCAGGAGTTTTGCTGGTTAGTTTGGAAATAGTGTCTCTGGGACTTTTCTGCCCCAACTTGCCTGGAACCAAATCTACGCCTCAGCCTTCTGAATAGCGAGGATTACAGGTATGAGCTGATTGCTCATCTGACCACCTTTTCCCCTCTAGTAGCAGAAAAGGTACAAATGGTGGGAAAAGAGACTGAGAGAGAGAGAGAGAGGACAGACACCTAGATATAACAGAGAAAGAAACATCAAAGGGGGGGGGTAGAGACTCAGGAAGAGGAAGTAAACAACTGGAGTGGCTTCTGTGTCTCCTTGGCAGGGCACAGAGGACAAGTGGGGAACACCCTAATCCGGGGACACCCTTCCTGCCCCCTTGCCATGCTATATTTAGGTGGAGAGAGGGGTGCTGGGTGACTCCCCCCTCCAAGGCAGGTGTCATTTTCCCCCCTAAATATAGTTCAGGGGGAGGGGAACTGTGAGTCCCAGGGTGGAGGTGTGCTAGGGTAAAGGCCCCCGTCATCCAAAATATGGCCTCCACCTCTCTCCTCATCTGGCTTCTTCAGCGGGTGCCTGCAGCTCTATGCCGTTCTCCAAGTGTCCCTCCCTCTCTGTCTTCTCTGCAGTTCTTGTCTCCCACCTGGACTCCAGGTCTTTCGTCCCCCTTTTTCATGGTCCCAGTCCCCTATCCTCCCACATCTGTAACTAAGGATTCACTCTGTTTCTCTAGGCAGGTCATTTCAACACAAGATCACTTGGAAAAAAAAAAAAAAAAGCATAGCATTGTCTCTAAGTCCTGTAATACCTTGGATTTCCCAGGACAAGACACCCTTCTCCAGTCCCCAGCCAGGAAATTCCAGGAGAGAGGGCTCTGTGCAAGAGCCCCCCCCACATCCACTGTCTCTGGGCGTCAAGCCTTATCGCTACCCGGGCCCAGCTGGTTAATGTCTGCCGAGGCTCCTGGGAGAGGGTGGGAATCTGCCCTGGGTCCATGCTGAACTTGCAGAGACCCCAGGAATCCCAGACTGAGTCCTCAGTCTGAGGGAGGAGGGCTGGGGCTTGGACTCCTGGGCCTCAGGGAGGAGATTGGAGCCTAGACCCCTGGGTCTTGGGGAAGAAGTTGGGTCTGGACGCCTGGGTCTGAGGGAGGAGGCTGGGGCTTGGACCCCTAGGTCTGAAGGAGGAGGCTGTGGTCTAGAGTCCTGAGTCCAAGGGAAGAGGCTGGGATCTATGACCTCTGGGTCTGAGGGAGGATGCTGGGATATGTGACCTCTGGGTCTGAGGGAGGAGGCTGGGGTCTGGATCCCCAGGTCGGTCTGAGGGAGGAAGCTAGGATCTGGACCCCTAGGTGTGAGGAACGAGATTAGGATCCCGACTCTTGGTTCTGAGGGAGGAAGTTGGAGCCTGGACTCCTGGATCTGAAGGAGGAGGCTGGGGTCTAGAGTCCTGGGTCGAAGGGAAAAGGCTGGGATCTTTGACCCCTGGGTCTGAGAGGGGAGGCTGGGGTCTGGATCCCCAGGTCTGAGGGAGGAGGCTGGGGTCTGGACCCCTGGGTCTGAGGAAGGAGGCTGGGATCTATGACCTCTGGGTCTGAGGGCAGAGGCTGGGGCCCGGACCCCCGGGTCCGCGGGCGGAGGCTGGGGCCCGGACCCGGCTGGGCCCGGCGGCCGGGCCTCCGAGGTCTAGGCACGCGAGTGTAAGGCGGGGTCCCCGCCCCTCCTCCGCCGTCGGGCGCCGCCCCGCCCCCGACCCAGGCCCTCGGAGCGCGAGCGGCGCGCAGCCGGCCGGCCGCCTAGGTCCCGGGAGCCGGAGCCGCGGAGGAGGCGCCGGGCGCCGGGCGCAGAGGCGGGAGCCCCAGGTAGGAGCGGCGGGCGCCTCCCCGAGACCGCAGCGTCGGGGTCGCCCTGCCCCTGGGCAGGGAGGGGCGGGGCGGGGCCGGCGGGGGCGGGGCTTGGCGGAGTAAACTGAGGCAGGGGGGGAGCCGCGCCCGCTGCGGAGCGGGGTGTCCCCCCCCACCCCGGCGTGGACTCAGAGATCGGGGTGCCCCGGCCCCCCTCTGGGGGAGGGTTATGTCTAAGTACCGGGGTGTCTGGACTCCAGAATTGGGAGGGAGGAAGGAGAGGGAGAGGGGCGCTGGGGGGAGAGGGGGGCACCTGAACTCGTGGAGGGGGGAGCTCCGAGGTTTGGGGTGTGGGCCGTGGGAAACGCCACGCCCGGCTCCGAAGGAAGAGGTCTTGGGGATCGGGACGCCTAGTCTGAGGGAGGAGGCAGCACCCCCGCCCTCCCCCCCCCACCTGGCCCGGTCAGCCTGGGCGCCCCCTTCCTTCTCCATCTCCCCGCGCGGGGCCGGCCGCCACTCCAGGTATGCGCCGGTGGAGTTCCTGGGCGGGCCCTGGCCTGTCCTGCACCGAGGGAACATTCCAGAAAAGAGCCTCGGGGACCCAGGGCTCCTGGGGGCCGGGTGTCCGGGCCGGCCCCGCCCCCTCCCCCGCCTGGGAGATGCAGAGAGAAAGGGGGGGGTGTAATCTTTCCCAGCCTCTCCCCCCCCAGCATCTGCTTCCCATCCATCGAGCCCAGGAGCCATCACCTGGGGGGCGGAGCCTTGGCTGGGGTACCCCACACTTGGAGAAGGAATTCCGAGGTAGGAGGAATAGGGGTGTTTGGGAGTGGGGGATCCTGGACCTTTCTCCCACTTGTCTATATAACCTGTCTGTCTCTTCCCTCTCCTTCCCCCCGCCCCCAGGTGGCTGCCCTCCCTTCCCTCTCCTAAGATGTCAACAAGGAGGGGGTTACCTGTGTCCTCCACAGGGACCCAGCAGAGTCTGAGGGTCCCCATCCCCGGAGCTCGGAGGTGGAGGAGGCGCTGACAGGTCTGGTAATCACCTCCTGCTTTCCAATCTTCTCCAGGCATCTAGAATGCGGTAGAAAGACACCAAGATTACCTCCCAGCCCGGGTCCCATTCACACACTGGGAAACAGGCTGCAGAGAAGAGGGGTCTTTGTCTGGCCTTCTTTCATTTTCATTTTTGTGCCTGTCCTGGGGCTTGAACTCTGGGCCTGGGTGTTGTTCCTGAGCCTCTTGGGGCTCAAGGCTAGCTCTCTACCAGTTGGGCCACAGCATCACTTCCAGTTTTTGAGTGGTTTATTGGAGATAAGAGTCTCAGGGGGACTCTTCTGCCTGGGCAGGCTTCGAACTGTGGTCCTCAGATCTCAGCCTCCTGAGTAGCTGGGATGACAATTGTGAGCCACAGCACTCAGCTTTAAGTAATCATTTTAAAGTAATTTATTAGTCTAGAAGTTCAGCATCAATCAAGTTCTAGAATGTGCCCCCCCACACACAGTGCTTCCCCATACTTCTGGGATTCTCACCTATTCGCCATAAATTTCCACTCTCCTCTCTAACCCCAGCTTCTCTTCTACCCCCCCCCCACCAGGTGGTCAAGAGATGCCCCCCAAGCCCCTGTGTTCCCTCCCCATCCTTCTCCTCTTCCTCCTCCCCAGTGTCCCAATGGAGCCTCGCTCTCCACCTTCAACTCTACCCCCCTTCCCGGCTCCTGAGTGGGACCTCCTGTCCCCCCGAGTAGCCCTGTCCAGGGGTGCCCCTACTGGGCCCCCTCTGCTCTTTCTGCTGGAGACTGGAGCCTTTGGGGAGCCTGCCGGTGCCCCAGCCAACCGCACTCGTCGTGGGGTGAGCGAGTCGGCCCCGGCCAGTCGCCGGGGCGAGCTGGCCGTCTGTGATGCAGTGAGCGGCTGGGTGACAGACCGTCGGACGGCCGTGGACCTGCGGGGACGCGAGGTGGAGGTGCTGGGTGAGGTGCCCGCAGCTGGTGGCAGCCCCCTCCGACAGTATTTCTTCGAGACTCGCTGTAAAGCTAATAGCACTGGGGAAGGTGGTGTGGGTGCAGGCGGAGGGGGCTGCAGGGGAGTGGACCGCAGGCACTGGGTATCTGAATGCAAGGCCAAGCAGTCCTACGTGCGGGCCTTGACTTCTGATGCCCAGGGCCGTGTAGGCTGGAGATGGATTCGAATTGACACTGCCTGCGTCTGCACCCTACTCAGTCGGACAGGACGGGCCTGACGCTCAGGTCCAGGAACTGAACAGGCAGAGAAAAAAAGAAGAGCTGGATGCTAAACCACCTCAGGAGTGGCCTTCTGTTTGGAACCTTAAAGGATCATGGAATCAAACTGCTCCAATTTTGAGAGCTCCATCCTCAAGATGTGTGAGGAAACCAAATGGAGTTTCAAAGGATGAATAGGAGTGCTCCTGGAGGAACTGGAGGGTAATAATGATCATGACAATAACAATAGTGAATATTTGCTGAGTGCCTCCTACTTATCCATGGTAACACATCACTCTTCTAAGGATGACCCTTTAATTGCAAAAGAAGCTGCCCTGGGCCACTCTGGGAGAGAACAACAAGGAGGGGTGATATGTCAAGAAGCTGGTGGGTAGTGTAGAAGCAGGACCATGCAAGGAACTGGCCAGAGGACCTGAGCACCTGGTCTGCAGAAAGCCTGGACATGTCTGGGAGCAGGCGGTTTCAATGAGAAATCCTAGCCAGTTGCTTATGGCTCATACCTGTCATCCTTAGCTACTCTGAGGATCCTGGTTCAAAGCCAGCCTGGGTTGGAAAGTCTCTGAGACTCTTATCTCCAATGAACCATCAGCAATCCAGAAGTGGTGCTGTGGCTTAAAGGGATTATAGGGCTAGTCTTGAGCAGAAGAACTCAAGGACAACACTGAGGCCCCAGGTTGAAGCCCCACTACTGACAAAATAATAAAAAATAAAGAGAGAAATCCTGCTTGGTCAGAATGACCAATATTCTTGGAATACAGTATTGTCTTTTTCTTTGGGGGGGGGGGGAGGCTGGGTGCTCTCCCTGAGCTGCTTTTGCTCAAGGCTAGCGCTCCACCACTTGAGCCACAATGCTACTTCTGGCTTTTTCTGTGTATGTGGTGCTGAGGAATCAAACCCAGGCCTTCATGCATGCTAGACAAGCACTCTACCACTAAGCCACCTTCCCAGCCCCCAGTATTGTCTTTTGAGGTAGTAAGATGCCTGTCACATAGAGGAGAATTCAAGCCCAGGCAGGGAGCTGGAGTCAGGTGACAGCACTCCTCCCCTGTTGCAACCTTTACCCCACATTGGGAATTAAATAGATCTTAAAATTGTCCAAGATATGGGTTGTGACCAATGGGCCTGCCCCGACACAAGTCATGAACACCTATAGGCTTTGAGAAGGGGTGGAACAAACCAATACAAGGTGTTTGGTTCAGAATGGAATAGGGTGGGTGAGACCTGGGTCAGGCTGGGAAAGGTGGCCTCAGTTTCCCCTGTCTGAAGAATGGGCTGGCATGAAGAAATTCTGGGGAGGAAGAAAAAGACTTAGCAAATCTCTTTATATTGAAGAGGTATCAAAAGGAGCTCCCAGACCCTCAGAATTACCCTTCATACTTTACCCATTTTGCACCTCATGGCTCTGTGTGTGTGTGTGTGTGTGTGTGTGTGTGTGTGTGTGTGTGTGCACGCATGCGTGTGGGTGTGTGCACACATGCACATGCAGTACTGGGGCTTCAACTCAGGGTCTGGGTATACTGTCCCTTAACTTTTTTGCTTAAGGATGACACTCTACCACTTGAGCCACAACTCCACTTCTAGCTTTTTGCTGGTTAGTTGGAGATAGAGTCTCATGGATTTTTCTGTTCTGGTTGACTTCAAACCTTGATCTTCAAACTTTGAGTAGCCAGTGCTCACCCACCTGGCTTTCACCCATTCTAGTTTCTTTTGAGGGGCAGGGGGTGGGGGTCATGGGACTTGAACTCTGGGCCTGGGCGCTGTCCCTCAGCTCTTCAGCTCAAGGCAAGCGCTCTACCACTTGAGCCACAGTGCTACTTCTGGTTGTCTGGTGGTTCATTGGAGATAAGAGTCTCAAGGACTTTCCTTCCCTGGGCTGGCTTTGAACCTCAATCCTCAGATCTCAGCCTCCTGAGTGAGTGGCTAGGATGACAGGCATGAGCCAGCAGCGCCCAGCTCACAACCTCTTTTGGGTCAAGCTTTGGGCTAAGGACACTGACATCCCCCTTGCTCCCCGCCCCTGCCCCCCCAACAGGACCCTGATACACTGTGGGGGCTCAGCCTCTGGTCTTGTTCCCAGTCTTCCCCCCCTTCTCTGTCTCCCTAACTTCCTGTGTCTCTTGTCTCTGGGTTAGTAATGCACACCCCCTTTTTGTGCTAAATATTTCACCCCTCCCCCCATACCCAGGTGGAAGTTTTCAGCCAAATCAAAGGCAGGCCAGACGGCAGGCGCTGACGCCGGCTGCTGCGCACACAGGGAGGGTGGGGGAACCCCGGAATGTCTGGAAATCGTTACCCCCGAGGTGGGCAGGCCTGGCAGGGTGCGTGTGAGCAGAGGCAGTAGAAGGTTCGGATCCTTTAGAAAAGAGGGGTGTTGCCCGTGGATTCCATGATGGGCTAATGGGAGAGCGTGTCTGCGCGCTACCCCCCTCCACACACACACACTCAGCATCTGTCTGGCCCTCGATCTGTCTCCCTGCCCCTCTCCGTCTGCAACTGGGACCTCTTCCTTCCTCCCCCGCCCCTGCCCCTTTGCTGCCCCTTCTCTTTACGGTCCCCCTCCCACCCTTCCCCTGTGTAGGGCCGTCCTGCGGCCTCCTGCGGACTCTGCCGTCCTGTCCTTCCAGTCCTCGCTCTGCCCATCCTCAGGCCCTCAGGCCCTTTGTGGGCTGGGCTCAGGGGCGGGTTCTGTCACCTAGGGCAACAGGGACAACAAACCCGACTCCGGGCTTGGCGAGCGGGAGGGGCTGGACCATGGCGGGTCGGACCCTGGCGTTGCGCTATGGCCCTCTTCACTGCCCCATCACAGAGAAGGATTTGCCTGGAACCTGGCCCAACTGGTGGCTCACCAGCAGCGGCATTGCCCACCACTACATCCCACCCGGGGTCTTCCCGCCGGTCACCATAGAGGTGAGGGGCGGGGCCTGGGGGCCCCCTGGATCCCGGGGCTGGGGGCGGGGCCGGGGGGTGTCCCTGGGCCTGGGGGGCGGGGCCCCGGGGGGGTCCGGGCGCCGTGGGGGGCGGGGCTACAGGACGGGAGGATGGACGCCGCTCTTCCCTAAACCCCGGCTAGCCCTGGATGGCGGCGCCCCTGCCCCCCGCCGGGCAGCGGGACCCGCGCCTGCCATCCTTGGACGAGGTCCTCGGTAGGTGGGAGACCACCTCCAGCGCGGCGTACCAGCTCAAAGCCCTCATCGGGCCCCACGCGCAGCCCCGGGCCCCTGAGCCCGCGGATCCCACGCGGACGTTAGGGATCAAGGATCTAGGAGAAAAGGTGCGGTGCCTAGAGTGCGAGGAGCTGGGACTTCGGGGGTGCGGGATGCGGGGCTGGGACTGTGGTGGGGTGTGGGACGCGGGGCTGGTCCTGTGGGGGGTGCGGGACGCAGGGCTGGGATTGCCGCAGCCTCCGCGCGGCCCTCACCCGCCGCGCCGCCCCGCAGCTCAGACGCCGCGGCTGGCGCCGGCCCCTGACCACCGCCAACCACAGCAGCGAGACCAAGGCGCAGTACCTGAGCTGGCCCTCCCTGGATGACTACGAGCCCGTCTTCGTGAGCCCCCCAGGCCAGGAGCTCCCGGGTCGCCTCAAGGGGCTGCCTCCCGAGGTAGCTTAGAGAGCCCGCGATTAGGTGCAAAGTGCGGAGATCAGGGACCCGGCCGCGAGAGGCTGGAAGCCCCTCAGTACTGCTTCGGGGGCGTGGCCAGGGCCCGGGGCGTGGCCAGGGCCCGGGGCGTGTCCATGGGCGGGGTCAGGGCATGGGCGGGGCTAGGATCCGGAAGGCTTGGGCGGGGCAAGGAAGTGTCTCGGAAATCCCGGAAGCTCTCCTGTGAGATTGGGAGCTAGTAGAAGGGGGCTTGTGGAATGGATGGTGTGTGGGACGGGGAGGGAGGCAGGGAGAACGGGGGCTTGGTGGCACTCTTTCCTCAAAGGCAAGACCAGAATATTCTGAGCCCAGGTACGTATGAGCAAGTGGGATTAAGTTAGACTGTTTACCCAAAGTGCAGCCCAGTCCCATTGCCGGCTCAGAATCCCTTTTTTTGTGCCTCCAGGACAGAGACTGGCCAAGCACCTAGCTACTCAGGAGACTGAGATCTGAGGAGCTCGGTTCAAAGCCAAGGCATAAAAATCTGAGATTCTAATCTTCAAGTAACCAGCAAAGAGTTGAAAGTGGAGGTGTGGTTCAAGTGGTAGAGCCTCACCCTTGAGCAAAGAAGTTAAGCGAGAGCTGGAGGCCCTGAGTTCAAGCCTCAGTACTGGTACTGGTGTGTGCACGCACGCGCGCGCGCACACACACACACACACAAAGAATTGGGAAGACTTTTTCTTGAGGCTGTGGGCTTGGATGTAAGCTCACTGATCAGCAGGAAGTGTTTTTGGTTTATTTTTGGGTCCAGTCGTGGGGCCTGAATTCTGGGCCTGGGCGCTGTCCCTCAGCTCTTCAGCTCAAGGCTAGCGCTCTACCACTTGAGCCACAGTGCCACTTCTGGCTTTTTTCTTTTTGCTTATGTGGTGCTGAGGAATCGAACCCAGGGCCTTGAGCATGCAAGGCAAGCGCTCTACCACTGAGCCACCTTCTCAGCCCCAGGAAGTGTTTTTTGTTTTGTTTTTGTTTTTGTCAATCCCAGAGCTTGAACTCAGGATCTGGGCACTGTCTCTGGGCTTCTTTGGTTCAAGGCTAGCACTCTACCACTTGAGTCACAGCGCCACATCTGGCTTTTTGTGTTTATTTGGTACTGAGGAATCGAACCCAGGGCTTCATGCATGCTAGGCAAGTACTCTACCACTAGGCCACCTTCCCAGCCCAGCAGGAAGTATATGGATTGGGGTGGGGTGGGGGGCATTGATGGTAATAGTTCTCCTTTAAGGAGTGAAGTACAAATAGCCTGGTGCGGGATTGGTGGTACAGGAATGATTTTTGGGGGGAGGAGTGGGATGTCTTCTTGGTCTTTTTGAACTCTGCATCTAGGCACTGTCCCTGAGCTCTTCAGCTCAAGGTGAGCGCTCTCCCAATTGAACCACAGTCACTTCCTGTTTTCTGGTGGCTTATTGGAGATGAGTCTCATGGACTTTC